AAATGAACTGAACCTGTCAGCCCCTTGTTTCCCGTTCCCACGAACTCAATCGCACACGCTCGTTCACGCGGACACGCACGAAACCGTCGACGGACAAATCGAGAATTCCCGTCTCGTCGGCAAGGAGGAAGAGGGCGGGGACACGGTGCGTCAAAGAAGCAGCAAAAATGGTCAAAATGCAGCTCGTTGCATCTATTTCACTCACCGAAATTAAAATACTAGTATATATAGATACATTGAAACAGGGTGTTATAAACATTTTTTGCGGAGAAAGCGCATCGTCAACAGTGCGAAAGAAAAAATGAGCACTTCAATAAGTTACAGGAGCGAGAAGAGTCCGAAGTTCGAAACGGGCCAGACCGGGCCAGACCGGGCCCGACACACGAACCGATCGACAGGCGGGCGAGTTCCCGACATCCAGCAGAGGCGAGGCGAAGCCTTCCCTCTCCTGCCTGTCGCTGTGCGAGCGAGGTCGGTTGTCCGCGCTCTCGATCCCTCGTGTACATTTTTTGCCTCTGTCGAAGGCCCTTCGGTGCGGTCGGACGAGGTGGAATCGCTGGGTCACCCGACGGCTCGGTCGACACGGGCTCTACGGGGCCTTCGGTATCATCAATTTTCGGATTACCTCTAAACTGTCAGCTCCAGCGACTCGACTTTAAACCTGATGAAAATGATATGAAGCACTAAAGACGCTGAAATATTGGCGTTTCCCCCCAGAAGTTTTTTTTCCTAATAAGTTTGTATCCTATTGGTTTCAGTGACAAAATTTCGCATGCATTCCACACACGTCGCAGATTCCGCTGAATGGAAACTGCAGAGGCAATAGGCGGCAGGAAACCATGAGGATCAAAGATGCTAAGGATGTCACTAACAGCTTCAGAAGATTCTGGGAAGCTTAACAACTTGAGAAGATTCTCGACGGAAAAACAAGAGGAGCAGGCGATCGTCAAAGAGACACAAAACAGAATGAAAGAAATCGCGCACAAGGCTGAAATTTCGTCCAATGATGACCAGAGAGCACAAAATCGGTCTGTGCAAAATGTCACCATCGCATCTTACACAAGAAAAAAAATGAAGACGAGAACGAGAGTGCAAGACATTAGGCTCCTTGCTGCCGTGAGCGAATTTGAACACAAGAGACTTTGAACCTGGAATACTGCATTGCGAACAAAAACAAACGGCGGGAACGAGAAAGCACAAGGAAAGGGCGAAAGAGACACACATGTCGCATATCTTCGTTTCTGTCTATAGGTAAACTAACCGGACGGTTAGAACTATTCCTCCTATGATCGTGAAGCGGGTGTTGAATTTTAGTAACAGTATCGACTAGCTGTCGAATGTACAAAGTCGGATGAGGATGAGATGAGTGCGAGGAATNGCGGGTGTTGAATTTTAGTAACAGTATCGACTAGCTGTCGAATGTACAAAGTCGGATGAGGATGAGATGAGTGCGAGGAATAATGAGGCATCTAGGTCTGCAAATAAACAGAAAAAGTGAGAAAGAGAGAGAGAGAGAGAAACAATCCAGATAGATCTCTCTCCCCCTCGTCAATAATATGTTTCCCTCTCGACCCATCCGCCCGGTTTGCGACGCAGCAGGAACTTTCGAAGTTCGTCGTAAATGATAATGAGGAAGAAAAACGGTATTGCGGGCAACCACCATTCCCATCTGCAAGAGAGAGGCGAAACGGTTTCGCCGCGAGCGAAGAGAATGCCGGAGAGAGACGGAGAAAACGTACTTGAGAGGATACATGCTGACGGCCCCTACCAGACCGGGTGTGTAGAGGAACATTGCGGCCATGGCCGTCTCGAATACGAGGGCGAAGTTCATGACCCAGTTCCTGGGGATAAAGCACGGATGGGTTTCGACCTTGTGGTTTCGCAAAGTGCCGTTCCGTTTACGTAAAGCGACTCACGTCATTCCCTGCTGGAACACCGAATTGCGCCGAGTCTTCAAGATGATGAGATTGGCCCATTGCACGATCACGATGGCAAGGAAGAAGCCGGCATAACATGCAAATTCCAAGTTCTTGCGGTCAGTATACGTCTATCGGGAAAACACGAAGCGTTCCCTCATCGTTCTGTCCCGGGGAAACTCGGTAAAGGCAGACAAACGACTCACCCATTCTTGGCCGTACGAATCCTCCAGATCGTTGATCGCCTTGGAGTCCCAATGAGAGCGGAGCCCGAACAGACTGAGAGGCCTGAATCCGCTCTGCGCCAGGATCGTGAAGTATGCGAGATATCCCCCTGCTATTTGCATCGCTCCGATGTGGAAGTACGACATGCACACGAGGCTGTCCGAGAGACGACCATTTTCCGTTTAAGCCAAATACCTGCATGGGCACTTTCGATTAAATCGGAAAAAATGGAAACATAGATCTACTTATCTCGCTTTGAAATGAACTGAGAAATTCCCCCCCCCCCCTCTTGGATTTACTATGAGGTCTCAAGAGACGAGGAAGGAATTTTAGTTTTTTTTTCTTCAACCCTCAAAGAATGCTGTCGAAGTTATCCCAATGTACGTCTTTTCTTTATTTTTTTTTAAGTCTCTTCCCATCTGAAATAAGTCTTATCCTCTCTTACTCTAAAACCCTCTTTAAAAAAATCTCTCTAAAGCGTTTTCAGAGCCACCGATCGCTCGGCGGCGTCCTCTCGTCCCCGATCCACAAACGAGAAGGAAAAGACCCTGCCGCTCACCAAGGAGTCACCAATCTCTCCGTGAAGGGATTCCTGGGCTGGCGCTTCATGATGTCCGACTCGGCCTTCTCATAGGCGAGGGCGACCGCTGGAAGCTGGATCGGGCGACACTCAATTTCGAACTCAAGACATTTCCAGGCAATACCAAGGCTACTGATGCAGTCAGAATTACGTATTGCTCTCGAATGACTACGGACGACTGTGAAGAAAATCCAACAAGGTTGGTGCCGCTAAAAAACCTGACCTTTCTTCATGACCTTTCTTGCACGTTTATCTTTGATCGATTAGCTTATCATGGAAAGGACCTCAAGGTCCTCGATAACTCATAACTACAACCTCTTTTTTCTTTCTTGATGTAATTTGTTTAAATTAAAATAACAATCTGAAAGCTACAAACTCACAATATCGGTCCCGATGTCGATGCAGAGGATCGTGATGGTCCCGAGAGGCAGCGGGATGGCGGCGATGATGAAGAGCGCGACCGGCGCGAGCTCCGTCATGTTTTTCGTGAGGGTGTATGCGACCGTTTTCTTTATGTTGTCGAAGATCAATCGACCTTCTTCCACTCCGGTCACGATGGAGGCGAAATTGTCATCCAGCAGGATCATGTCGGCTGCTTGCTTCGATACGTCCGAGCCGGCGATACCCATCGCGATTCCTGCGGGCAAAGGGTGAAGCATTCGTGCTTGGGTCGGCGAGGGACCACGATCGGATCTCACACTTAATGAATGATGAAAATTTTATTATTATTCATAAAATTGATTTTTCGAAGGGCAAATAGATTCAAGGGAGCGATATTTGTGAAGAGCGGTAAAAGCATTGACGAAATTCCCGAGGAAACGAGCAATTACCCATGCAGAATTGTTATTAATTTTTTATTTATTACCGAAAATGATATTTTCTCAATAAAAAATGAGGATCGGCCGACAAAACAAACACGAGAAGCAACTAGTACAGCCCTAGAATGGCATTTTCAGAGGGGGTTCTCGTGAGTCATTATCCCTGTTCAGACGAGAAAAATTCCCGGAAAATTCCTCAGAGAAGAGGAGCCAAGTGGTGAGGCCACTGATTGAAGGAACTGGGCGTTTTGCGTTCGGCAAGGCGGTGAGGTGCTGGACGGCGTTGTCGCGCGAGGACTCTGCGTCCGAAACTGAAAATGAGACTCGTCGACTTTGTCGGAGTCTGCTGCATTGAGACGAGAGATTGAGTTTTCAGAGTCGCGTATATTACGTTCGTAGAATCCTTGGGAATAATGCGACCTGGAATTAAAAAAAAAAATTTCCCTGGTAATATAAAAATATATAAACATAACACGATAGGGCCGCGGTCAAAAACACAAATCGGGACTTTTTTGCTGATAATTCTCACCCAACGAGACACTCGGGATGTCAATACGAGCAAAAAACTCAGCGTCCCGGACTCAACCTTAAACAGCGACCGGCCATCGCAGACGTCAAGAGTTCCTCTGATAATCCAATCTAAAGCATACACTGTTTTCGGATTGAATTGGTAACCCCCTC